CTAGTGATCAGTATTTTGTAAACTTATTTGGCAATGGAACTTTTTTCCAAAAGAAGTTGTGCATGTCCCCTTCTTTCAAACCTTCCATTTCACCCAGAGGGCATGATTTATTCCCACAGGTGGTCATTTAAGTATTCAATAAAGTGATGAAGTGAGGGTTTCTGTGAACAGTTGTGCAGATGTTCACTGCACAATCCAAGGGGCACTGTTCTAGTCCGTTTCTGTTGCTTATGACAGAAATCTCTGAGACTGGATAATTTGTAAAAGAAACAATATTTATTGCTTACCATTTGGGAGGCTGGGAAGTCCAAAGTCCAGGGAACACATCTGGTGAGGACCTTGTTCTTGGTGGTGGCTCTACTGCAAAGCAAGATATCACATGGTGAATATGGCAGGAGTAAGAGAGAGACTAAGCTCCTCACTGGCTCTCCTCTTATAGCCGTCAGAACCATGCCGATGATCATCCCTAAACGATCAACAGATTAACCCATTCACTAGGGCATGGTCCTCACAATCTAATCACCTCCCAAAGGTCCCAGCTTTCAATGACCATAATAGGATTTCCTACCCTCTTAACGCTGTCACAATGAGGATTAAGTGTCTAATACATGGGACTTTGGGGGACACAATCCAATCCATAGGAAGCACAGTTTACATTGTAGTATTTGTGAACAGCGTTTCTTGGAGTTATGTAATGTACAGTCTAGGGGGTCCTATACAAAGAACCTTGGTAAGTGGCATTGTTTTTTGTTTTTTTGGTTCTTTTGGCAGCTCGCCAGTATGGGAATCCAAACCCTTGACTGACCTTGCTGTTATTATATATATATATTTTTAGATGTTAACTTTTTTTTTATGGTGGCTGGCCAGTATGGTTATCTCAACCCTTGACCTTGGGCATTGTTTTTATCAGTTGAAAACAATGGAATTTTGAAAGGGGAGGGAATTTAATTTACAGATATGGTCAGAGATGAATGTCAAACTTTACCCCTCCAGTAAGATAGAATTGAAAATAGAATCCATTTTTATCTTATACTTAAAATTCCTTATACTTAAAATACCTCATACTTGGAATTTCTGTGGTGTGATCGAGTTTCTGACAATGGCTTTCGTAAGCCCTTTTTTAATTGATTATAGTCTTGAAATGTAAGAGAGTATTTTAGTCATCGTAGGTTTACTGCCATAATAAACAAGCTTGCAATCTCAGTGGCTTAAAATAATAAAGGTTTGTTTTTCATACACATCACATCCACTGTGGGATGCGGTCGGCGTGGGCTGTAGACCACAGTCATTCAGAGGTCCACGTCTTTGAATCTGGTGGATCTTAAGTCAGTCTTCTGTTACGCAGAGTCCTTCACTAGCTCCTCTGCCTCTGGCTGCCAGATGAGGAGAGAGAGTGGGGAAATGTGCAGAGACCTGGGAGTGGTGTCTGTCATCTCCACCAACAGGCCATAGGCCCGAGCTCACTGCATTGGGCTGCCCAACTGCAAAGGAGGCTCAGAAACACTGTCTATCCCTGCGCCCAGGTGGAAAGGCACTAGGGTTTAGGGACAGGGTTGAGTCAATATTGCAAGGCTGACCATTTTTTTCTATTTTGTTTCTTCTCCAGGAGACTTCTTGGCATCATCACAAAAAAGGATGTGCTGAGACATATGGCCCAGATGGCAAACCAGGACCCCGAATCCATCATGTTTAATTAGCAACAAGGTGGCAATTATTTTGAGAAAAACACTGACTGTATTATTTTAAAAGAAATAAATA